TGTTTCTCCTACTTTTCAAATTTCTGTTATTTGTCTGTTGGGTCATCTGGGTACACCCCTCAAGCCTCCTAAGTCCCTCTGTGGTTTTTGTCTCATTGTCATTTTGCTCTGTGACATGAGATATTGCTTTCACATTATGAATTTCAAGATCATTTCAGGTCATCATGTGAGTCTGCACAGTGATCCTGCCTGCCTTCCATTCGTTTACTGATTTTTTAAACAGGAGTGTCAAATTTTTCAGTCTCGTGCACTTGAAACTCCTTGAGAGCGTTTATGTTTAGTTATCTGTTTCTGCTGGCAGCTCTGCTTCATTAGAGGCCTGGTCTGGTGGTTCTGTGTATTCTTATTCTCTGACTGCCAGGCCCTCTTAAGTGTGTTGTTAACTTTCTATTTCTACCCCTCGGGGCTCCCTTCCACCTTCTCTTGAGCTGTGGTGGTTCTTGGAGTGAGAGGCTGTGGCCATTCTCCTCCCTAACCTCATCCTGCTGGCTCACTGTCAGGTGGAGAAGATTCAGCTCCTCTGCATAGTTGTTACCTTCTAGAGGACCTCAGGAAAACTCGGGGGTCAACTTTGAACCTGGATGTACTCTGAGCTCCATGCAGAAACTCCTACTGTGGTTACCAGGCTATGAAGGAATTGGACAGGGCAGGGGAGGCATTAAAAAAATAATAATAAAGCAAAGCAAAAAGCTAGGGACAGACAGGGCTTGTGATTGTTTTTGACACTGGAAGCCAGAGACAGAGATGCTACCAAGTAATGATTGGGGTTCAGAATATAACGATCCCTGGTCTGGATACTTTCTCCCTTGGTTCCAGCTAGGTTAGTGTCTCTTCTGCTTTCCCTGACCTGGCAAGCTCACTTGTGCCTCAGGGCCTTTGCACTTGCTCTCCCTCTTCCTGGAGCTTTCCCTCCCCAGATGTCCACATGGCTTCCTCCCCCGCTTACTGCAGTTCTCTCCCATCATTCACTGACCACCTTGGATTGCTCCCTTTACCCTGACTGGTTCTTCCTCATTGCTCTCACTACCATTCTCCATGATTCCAATATCTTTGTTTTTCATCAAACCCCATTCTGTTCTCATAGCTATACGCAGCACTGAAAAGTCTTTGGCACAGAGTAGGTGACCATGAAATCATTATCAGATGAATAAGCGGAGGGATGTCTGAGGCACAGTGGAAACCTCCGGCGAGACTGAGAATACTTCTTTAGGAAAAGTCTTGCTCTTTGCAGGTGGGCTAAGAATGTTGAGAAGAGACTTGGCCCTCTGCTCTTAGGGTGAGGTGAGGGGTGGCTGCCTGATCACATTAGCTGAGTTGGAACAGATGTGGTGTTTTCCCCGAAAGCCTGAGTGTGAGGGGGCCGTGATGCTGGCTGAGCCCTCTAGCTGCATAGGTTCCTTCTGTGTGAGGACCTGGGAAGTTCACTTCCAATACGTGGTCTCTCAGCTCTTCTGACTCTCAAGGCTATAGGTTGAGGTTGCACAGGGAAAGGAGGCAGGTGCAGTGGTTAGCACCCAGGCATCTGTACACCAGCTTTGCCTCCAGCAGCCAGCATCCCAGAAGGCCTGGGGTGGGGGTGGGGGTGCGGGCAGTGGCTCTGGCCCTTCCCTCCCCCAGGGGAGCGATATGTGGTCAGTACTCCCTCTGTCTTTATTCTATGTGTTTCTCAAATTATCCCTCTCCCTCGTCATCCAAGAGATGAGGGAAATAAAGTAAAGATAGCAAAGGACCTTTCTGATCTCACCGCCAACTTGGAAAGAGGAGGGACGAGTGGCGTGGGCAGCCCTTGCTTCCCGGAGATGGAGCTCTGCAGAGGAGTTGCCCTGGCCTCGGGCCTTTCAAGCGAGGAAGAAAGGCCACTCTTTTAGGGCCTCTGCCGAGTCTTTTTGCCACCTGCCAGGGCTCTTCTTTTGAAAAGCTCCAAGTCATGGCATTGTCCTCCTAATACAAAGCTGCTTTCTGCCCTTCTCATGGCTATAGAAGAGGGAAAAAGCCTTCACACACATCTCAGATCCCAGAAGAGCCTTTTTTCCTGAGTATGGGGAACTTAATGGTGGAACAATGAGGTCAATCATAACTGAAATTACACAGTAATTTGGGTGCAATTGCATCTAAAGACTGGCTAACCTTTTAAAGTAGCACTTTTAAGAAAAAAAAAAGCCAGATATTCTCTGGGAAAAACCTGAAATGTGAAATTGTCCAGGAACCCCTGAGATGCTTTCAAACTGCTCCAGCAGCTAGTGGGGGTTCTGCTTCCCCTGCCCAGCGTCCATTTTGGGTCCCGGCTGCATGTGCCGCTGCCCCTGGCCCCAGCTCTGGGCCCCTGGCAAGCCCCCCACCACCTGCACTTTGGACTGTGGCTTGGCAGGCACCTGCCAAGTTACCTTTGTTCATTCCTGCAATTGCTCCCATACTCTATGTCAGGAGAGGACAGCTGTGGGTGACAGGCTTGCGTGGGTGACCTGGCTTTAGCTTTCAATGGGTGTGACTGACCTTGGGGCGTGGCTTCTATGTTTTGGATAAAAGCTGCTTTCTTGGTGATTGCAGACGTCTTGTAATTCAGAGCATCTTAATGGTAGAAAGACTGATGACTGTTTCCTTTTTTAATTTTTTAAAAATTATGTTAAGATGTCCACAATGACACTTAACCATTGTTACCATTGTATTTTATTTTTAAGAGATTTATTTATTTATGCATACAAGCACTGGGGTACAGGCCAGAGGTTCAGGAGTGGTCAGAGGATTCACCAGAGATAGAGTGGGGTGTAGGACAGGTAGATCAATGAAGCACACTGCTGAGGGGAGAAGCGGGCAGGTCATGCATGTGGGTCAGCTCCCTGGCCAGGGATTGAACTCGCGGAGTGGCTGCAGCTAGTTTTGTAGTGCTGTGCTTTAACCCATTGGGCCACCAGGGAGGACCCTCAGTTATCATTTGTAAGTGTCAGTTTGGTGGTTTGAAAAATACAGCACTGGCATCTCCAGAATGCTTGTCATCTTAACCTGGAGCTCAATATCTATTAAAGACTCACTCGCCTTTCCCCATCCTCCTGTAAACTTTCTGCCCATCTGATTTTGACTAAGTACCGTGGATTTATGCAGTGTTTGTCTTTTTGTAATAGTTTGAGGGTACTTGAGGGTGCAAATTCATTTTAGGATAGGTTTTCTGCAACAGATCTCATTAGGATTTTGATAGGGAATGCACTGAATTTGTAGAGTGCTTTGGGAAATGTTGACATTTTTACAATATTAAACCTGTGTTCCTTTAGAAGTGTTGAGATGTAGCAGAGAATTAGAAAATTAGTCATGCACAACACCCTTAGAGCCCCCCCTACACCTAGTTTTTATTTCTTCTTACTCATTTGTATGTTTTCATATACGTGTATCATTCACATAACCACACAGATGTGTATATTTTTGCAAATTGGTTTATATTGTGTTTCTCAGGCCTTGATTTTTCCCTTAGTAGTATATATAAAAAACATTTTCTTTCTGAAAAAGGAATCCTATCACACTGTTGATGGGAATATGAATTGGTGCAGTCATTACGAAGAGCAGTCTGGATCTATCTTTTAAAAAAAATGGAGATACTGTATAATCTACAGTCCCACCTCTGGGCATTTATCCAGAATATGAAACTATTAAAATGAAAACCCCATGTGTTCCATTATGTTCATGGCAGCTTATTTGGAATAGCTAGGGCATGGAAGCAGCCTAAATGTCTGTTGACAGATGATTGGATTAAGATGTGATGTGTACATGCCATGGAGTACTATACAGCTATAGGAAAGGATGAAATGTAACTATCTTCAGCAAAATGGAGGAAACGTGAGCGAAGTATATGCAGTAAAGTAAGTGTGCTGGGCAAAACAAATTCTGGACATTTTTATAGCAGAAAAATGGATAGCCTGAAATACTTTTCTTTTCTTTTTTTTTAAAGATTTATTTATTCGTACAGAACTGGGGTACAGGCCAGAGATGTGGAGGGTGAGAGGATTCACCAGAGACAGAGTGGGGAGCAGAACAGGCAGATTGACGAAGTACACTGTTGAGGGGTTTTGTGGTCTGGTCTGGAGAGTTTTGTCACGCCATGTGGTCTCCTCCGGGGCAGGCGGGAATCGAACTCATACGGAAGTGGTTTAAGCTTCTTTGTGCTGTGCTTTAACCCGCTGCGCCACCAGGGAGGGCCACCTGAAATACTTTTAAAAACCAAAGGACATCAATAAACATCTTGAGGTTTCTGAGATTAGTTGGGGGGGGGGGGGAGTGAGTGTGGAGGAAAGGGACAAGAAGAAACAAATGATGGGGGTAGGAAAAAATACATATTGGCAACTATGTTAGTGAACTGCTAATTTTCCGAAATGCAATAATGGTATCATGGCCATGGAGAGTAATGTCTTCAGTTTTAAGAGATGCCTATTGAAATATTTGGTGGTAAAGTGTCATAATATCTGCAGCCTATTTTGAAATAGTTTAGAGGTAGTTATGTAGACCTATAATTTTTTTCCAATTACATATGAATGTTGCATAATATACAATGAAGGTATAGGTAGCATTTTTTAAAATTAAACATATGCTTTGTTTCTGTCTAAACCCAGAGTAGGATATGTGAGATTCTTGCACTGGAAGGAATTAGCACCTAGTTTGACCTGTTTCATGGAAATACTTAAAGATGAATGAAAATGATGCTAAATCTTAGGACTAGCTGCCTCTGAGACCGAGTTTAACAGGGATCTGTACTGCCCAGACATAGAGTGACCTGGTTAGGCTCTGGCTGTGTCCTGAGACTACAGGTAAATAAATGGATTCACTGGACAGTGGGTGACAACATTGTTGCTCCCAAGGTAAGTAATTGTTTGTGCTCTGCTCACCACAGTGTCCCTGTTGCCCAGCACAGTGCCAGACACGTCCAAGGTGCTCCATCCATGTCTGTTCAGTGACTGGGTGTCTCTCATAGCAACTGGTGGAATGTTTGGGCACTGATGCTCTGATGTCTCTTTCAGGAGGCTTAGGACCCACGCCTCTGGTTCGGGGTGTACGAGGCCGAAGCATCAGCATGAAGGCACCCACTCCTTCCCGAATCACGCATGGACCCTTTAAGACCATGCCCCTCCGATGGTCTTTTGGAACCAGAGAGAAGCCACTCGGCACATCTGTGGGATTAGTGGAGTACTTGGAGTCCAGACGGAGGCCTCGGTCCACGAGCCAGTCCATTGTCCCGCTGTTGACAGGCGCTGCTGGTGGGGATAAGTCAGCAGCGCTGAGCTCAACCCCCGCCTGTGCTGCTAAGGAGGAAGACAGTGGACAAGCTGGGGAGAGCACACTGGCCAGAATGCCTGGCCCTTCTGGCTACTCCAGCCTCTGTGTGGCCCCTGGACACTCGGATGGTCTTAACACAGTGAGGAAACTCAAGGAAAACTCAAGTCAGGATATCAGACTTCCCAAACAGTTTGATCTGCCCCTCACAGTGATGCCCTCGACTGAGAATGAGAAATGTATGCGGCCAGAAGGCCAGAAGGCCACAAACTGCAAAAGCAACAGCAGGATACCCTCCCCCAAGGTGATGAGCTCTGTGGACTTAGCTCGGAACAGTGCAGATAATCACCGATCTCCCTTAGCCAAGCTGAAGTCTAATGCAGAGGGAAGGGACTCAGAGACAGACAGGTTACCACAAGGGACCCTCACCCTTCTGCGGTCTATGTTTTGGAAGAAGGACAAGAGGAATGGCCGGGCAGGGATGGCTCCTCCAGTCTCCCTGGGGAGTGACAGGCTGGGCCCAGCAGTGGATGAGCGGTCTCGCGGCTCATCTCCTTTGCTCAGGGGTTTGGAGAGTCCGGCCAGGGGACCATCCAGCCATCTGGAGAGGGATGTCTCGTCAGCACCCAGCTCTCTCCGCCTTGCTCGCAAAGCCAGCAGGCCCACAAAGGGCAGTGCCCTAAGCGCCTCACAAGACGGGCAGACTTCTCTTGGGACCTTGCAGAAAGTGAAATACCATACTCTTTCCTTACGTCGAAAGAAAACGTTACCGGAGTCCAGCTTTTGATGTTACCCTAGGCTTGCGTGAAACTGGTGTTCACGTGACTCCGAATTATGCAACTGGAGGCAGTTTGTGTTGCCAGCAGACTTTTGGATGCCAGTTGCTTTGTGAGCTCTCAAAATAAATTTGGTTTGGTCTTTGTATCTAGACAGACTCCCAATACCTTGTCCAAATCCTTGTGATACCTTCCTGTATTGTTGGGTGCTCTTATACTTCCATGCCACCAGAGGGTGCTATTGGCTCAGCATTACCATTTTATGGGGGCGTCTAGTTAAGAGGGCTCTTCAGTTTCAATTCAAATATTGTCGTTGACTTCCCCTTTCCAAACCTTAAAAAATTTTAAATAGTGGACTGAACAGGAAAATATTTTCTTTTAAGTGCTTCCCTGGGGTAAAGCATTACAGATGTCCCCCAAATGGCAGTGACTAAAGGCAAGATAATTTGAGAGAGAGAGAGAGAGAGGTAGGAGAGAAATGATGGACCGTTTCAGAGACTATTTAATATATGACAAAATTATTATATTCAGATTTTCCACAGTATTTAAAAAAGATAACTATTTTGATACTAGAATAAAGGAAGTTCTTTTAAAAAAGAGAAAAAAACTTTAATTGTGAGATCCAAGTGCAGTTTTAATAAAAGCTTGTCCGTGAACCATACATATGGCTGTCTGAGTTATTCAAGTTTGATAAATGGTCTCATTTTGTTCCTGCTGCATCCACTTGGCCCCTTGCTGTTGTTATCAGAAAGTCGTTGCTTTTGAGTTGTTTCTGAGATCTTGAAGTACTCCTTAACTGTTCTCCAAAGAAGCAGGAGTCTCTTTAGAGGGCTCGTCTCTGAGAGGGCTTTGGGTGGGAGCCAGCCTCCATGCTCCATGAGTGGACCACATGTCTCCTAGTCCCTCTAATAAATTTCCTATCACTTTGCACAGAGAAGCTACAGACTTGACCCCGGGCCTGGTCAGGTCCTTTCTGATGGGAACTATTTGTTCAAAACACCCGACTCCAAGAATTAAGTCTTCCCTCATACATATTGCATGACTCATTGGTATGTCTTTGCAACATCTTTTTTTACCCTTAAGAAGTAAGAATGGGTCTGCCCCACCACCACTCTGTGACATAGAATCCTTACTTTTAAGCAATTGTTAGAAGACAGAACTGAGAAAGTAGAAGGAGAGACCGCTTAACTAGAGCGGATGGTATGAATGCCAGTAGACCTGTGCGTTTGGAATTCAAAAACCCATCTTCTTGTCTAGTCTGAATTGATGTACTCTCAGGCAATGTGAAAGACACAGTTGTCCAAGCCCTCTTGGATTATGGGGCTTCCCTGGTTCTTTCTCCTCTGTTAATGCTCATCTGTCATCTTTAGGTCCCGTTCCTTTCTTAAATTCAGCCTCACTTCCTTCATTCTCTAAGAGAATGAGTTGTGATATAGACATGTTACCAAGCTTCTCTCCTCTACAGAACCTCAACCTTTCTCATGGGTGGATCCAGGGGTGACTCCCAATTACTGGCAGTGTTGTTGTAATGACCCATGAATTGGAGCACCCACGCAGGGCTCTGAATTTGGGGGGGTTGAGAATGAGGCAACTGCACACGGACGCTGCTGGACATACTTGCCATCCCCAGTCTCCAAGAGGGTTGCCTGAGGCCTCGTGGCATCCCCTCCCTGAGGTTGCTGAGCTTTTGGGGGATGTGGGAAGGATTTAGTGTGATTCCCTCCCAGACTGGAGGCATGGTTCCAACGTTGGCTGCACATTTGGGTGTGGCTGTCGACATCCGGTCAAGTGATATTTAAGGAGAAGCACTTGGATTCTTTATTCTAATCACAGAGATCCCTCTGGAAACCAGTAACTTTGTGGTGCTAGACAAAGGTTGAGAGACTGTAAGCCAGATAGGAGCATAGCCAGTAATTGCATTAGCTTAGTGGGGCAGAAGGGCCCACCATTCCTCCACTGGAAGACTGCTCCTAAGGCGTGGTCACTGATCTGATGGTAATGGCTCACCCTGGACCCCCAAAGTGTCCCCTAGGTCTGGGGACTAGTGTCAGGAATCTTGGGCGAGGAGGTCTTATTGATGGTGTCAGAAGCTCCTAGGGTCAGAGTTAGAGGAGAAAGACAGGGAGACTAGAAGGATATTAGGCCTTGAAGTTACAGAAAGCAGATAACAGGTAATAGTTCCAGCTCTGTGGTGGTGGAAATGTGAGGTTCTGAAACCGGGTGTGACCATGTTTCTGCCCTACTGGTCTTCAGTGGGGGAGAATGAGGTGGATAGGGAGAGAGAAGTGGACAGTGAGAGTCTCAGGAGTGTCCCTAGTGGAGAATTCTTGAAGCCCTACTCCCTCCACGCTTCTCTTCAGAGACCAGCTTTCCAGCTTTCCTCACATGGTTAGGGAAACCTCCCAGCTTCTCCATGCTTAACCTCTCAGCTGCATTTACGGCTCCTGTCCAGGTGTCATTTTAAACTCGCTTAAAATGTTTCCAGAGAGAATTTTTTTTTATTACAAAGTTTATTTTTACATCATTTTGCACTTTTTTTTTTTTTTTTAACATCTCGATTGTAATCCCCGCGGGTTTCCCATCACCATAGTCTCGTGCATTTCCCTCCCTCCCCCCCCCCATTTTTGATCCCATTCCCCACTCCACCCCCACAGAATGTCTTCCAGAGAGAATTTTAATGTTTCTGCTTTCAGGAAAATTTCTTTCTTTTTCTCATACTTTGTTTTCTTATGTTCTGGCAAGTATGTGAAGTTTCAGAGGGAAATGGAATTATAGTACCTTTTATTTAAACCACAATTGATGTACATTCACAAGTTTTGAGGCACTTTCCTATTTATTGATGGGTTCCTGCAAGATTTTCCAGTTCTTCAGATAGTTTACCCCTACCCCCCAAATTTCTCCCTGAATGTATATTATAGAAAAAGGGACCCCGATTAGAGTACCGCCAGAAGAGGCTGGGTATAATCACCATTTCAGAGAGGATATGGCTTACTCCAACTCACGTTCAAATCCTGGCCTCTGTGTTATGCAAAGTCCCTCTTCAGATTGACTCCAGCTCATGGCAAAAGAAACATTTCATAAACAGAATTAATCTTTACCTGCCACCTTTAACCTCAAGCAAGAGAGAATTACAAAGAGTCCCCAACAATGATCCATTTTTTTCATAGTTATATTCTATTATGTCCCTACCTGTGGATATATTTTATTATGTCACAGGTTAATTTTTCATCTATATGATGCTTGAAGTCCCTCAATACCCCCCAAAGCATCCTCAGTTAAAGTGACATCATGATGACACCACCACAGAGCCAGGACTCTTGCCCCTGAAGTTTTCTGTACCCATACATTTCTTGCAAAGGGAGGCATCAGGGTCTGACAGCACATGCGTGGTCTAACTTGTGTTGAATGAGACCATATTATTTGAGACCTGCCTTCACGATCCAGCACTTCGCTTGACATTAGTTTCTAAGAACCTACTGAGGATTTTCAGTGAGGACTTGCTGTATTTATTTTTAAATTTCATTTTTATTAAGGTATAACATTGAGTTCCTTTAGGGAATATAATGTTGATTGGATAACCTATGGCTTGTAATATGATCGCCAGCCGTAGCATCAGCTCTACACTATCACATCACAGAATTATTTCTTGGGTGGGGACAGTCAAGATCTGGTCTCTCAGCTGCTTTGATGTTTGAGATAGAGCATTGCCTGTTCTCACCAGCTGTATCTCAGCTCTCTGGAAGGACTGATTTTCTAGTTGTAATTTTGAACCTTGATTGTTGCTTAGGTTTTTGGAGCTTGCTGCCGAGCTCTACAAATTGGCCTCATTATTTTCAAATGTTGCTTATATATAACTCACTAATGCAAGTGGGTCACCATTTACCAATGGGGCGTTTGGAAGAGTTTTTGCTTTGATAAACAATGATATCCTGACAAGAAATTATTTCCTGGACTTCATCCAATACCTAACATAGGACAGAGACTTCTCGTGTTTATTTATGTTCTGATTTGAAGGAATTGCCTCTGATTTGAAGAAATTTTATTATTATTATTATTCTTTTATTATTTTTTTAACTATTTTTTTTCCCTATGTAGAACTAGGGTGTAGGCCAGAGGTGCAGGGGGTGAGAAGATTCATTAGAGTTGGGAGTAGAACAGGCGGGTCTGCTGAAATACATGGCTGAGGGGAGCAGCAGGCGAGACAGAAGAGGTCTGCTGTGCCATGTGGGTCAGCAACCTGGCCACCAGGGAGGTACTCAAAGATTTTTGAATAGAGAGAAAAAAAAAATGGTAGTGAAATAAAAAGAGAGCTGCTTAAGGAGGTGGCTTCCGTTTCCATAGGTGATGACTGTTAATATGATTGGCCTTGTAATCCCCACTAAATTTTGCCTCCAGTGGGTCTTAAAGGTGAGCTTTTCCACATAGCATTCATCTGCTTGGGTTGGATGCTCCCTCTTTCCCGTGACCCTGTCGTTTTGTTCCCCAACAGACATCTCCATATCCACTCTCAAAGGGAGCCCTACCTCTTCCTTTCCCTTCCGGGAACCAAAGACAATGGCTACAACACCTCAAACAGAAGCTTCTCCATGAGCCTGGAGAAAAACCTCAGCTGCTCAGCATGAAGCTGTGAGAGGGTGGGATTGCTTGGGGAAGTAGAAATGTAATAGTAATGAGGAGAATAAAGCTTGTGACCAAATGCTGGACCAAGTTTTTAGACTTTCTTTGGCTAGTAATGGAACAACTCGTATGTGAAATATTTCCCCTAAATTTCTACCCCTCCAGAATGATCAGAAAAAAGGGAAAGGCACCAGATAAAACTAGAAAATTGCAAGGGAAGCAACTGAGGCAAAAACCCTACTGATGTGGATCAGGATATGATCTACATGATCAGTGATTCGATCAAAGGCATGGACAAGAAGCAGAAACTAGGGGCTGCCAGAGCCCAGAGGAGGTGGGGACTTGGTTCCAGAGCATGATGCCTGGCAGTGGCTATCTGCTGCATGCTCCGACCCACATAGCAAGGGACAGTGCCTGGCCATGGGCATCCATGTGGAGACCATGACCACCACCCACAGTGAGTCTGCTGTTTTCCACCCTTGCCCCCAACCTTTATTTCTAGATGAATTTTCCCCCTATCTTCCTGTCTCCCTCGAAGATTTGAGCTTGTACTATATTAACAATTGTCCTCCTTATATGAAGATTAAAGGAAAATAGTGATTTAAAAAAGTAATCAGCACGCTGTTGGAAACAAGTCCACCTTCAGTTTTACGCATGCTTCCAAATGCTCAAGTTCAAGGAACAGTTCCTTCAGATGAGCATTTATTTTTATATTTCTCCAGGCACGTGAACTTTCAAAGGGGGCACAGGGATGAGGTAGGTAGGTAGTTTGCGTTTTGTTTCTTTCAGTGGAGAGGTGATACAGATATGACACAGGGGACAGGAATGGCCTCACCATTTCTTAGAGGTAGAA